TACTGTTCTACGGCGAATCCACGTTGACAAGTGCCATATTTATTGGGTATCTGTCTGCGCTGGAAATTTTCGGACATTTCCATCTGCCGTTCCCATGCAAGATCATCTTGTCCCCGGGGACTACTTCCGTCCACTGCATTCGAACGAATGGATCAAACGCCATCCATCATGCTGTCTCGCTCCGATATTACTATCTTTATTTGCTCAGATCGTTCATACTCGATCACAAGCACCTTGCCAACGCTCTTTCCTCTCCATGTTTCTTTTCTTCTCTGCTTCCATCTCGCTGTTTTCCTCATTTTCGTCTCGTCTCTGCTTCCCTCCTCCCTCACGCTGACTGTTCCCCATTCGATTTGTACATAATTCCCTTTGACACCTCCCGATCAAACCATAATACCCGACCTAAGCGGCCGTAATATGATATAACGTTGGTCATTCCACTATCGTTCATGTCTACTCACCCTGTTAATCTAATGTTTTTTCTCGGAATTCCGATTATAAAGCCTACTTTGCACGAAGCTAATGGTCTACAGAAAGCTCACCTTTACTTCCCGCTCATTCTTAGCCTACAATAGCTGTAGAAAAAGTATTCCAGCAACTTCTGACATGATGTTGTAAGCGTTTAGTGGTGGGAGTACCAGGTTTATCTTCATTGATGAAATTCTGCTGCTATTCACCATGTGGGTTCCTCGAAAGCTTTCATCAATCAAGCCATTTAAGTCATTTTCTCCGTTGTTATTAACCTTTATATATGACATATCTGACTTGTTAATCTTGATATCTTTACATTACTAATATTACATTACATATTCCTGCTATAGCTGCTTCTGAATTGAGCCAACTAATTTGTTACTCGAAGAGCAAGAACGCATTGAAAGAGTTCTGGCAGTGGAGAAACGTTTTATTACTCCTTATGTTTAGATAACAGCCTTATCATTAGCAAATATTTCAGGAGAATGCGAAGGCAACCAGCAATTTGGAGATTCAGTTCTCGTATGCCTCCAACATTGTTTCATCTCAATGAAAACAGTTTTAAATGAAACAACAGTTAAGTGGACGAATCATGTGGGATTTTGGAAACACATAGAGTAATGTAATACACTGGCCAATACTTGGTTAGCACTACTTGATGAGCGCTGTTGTGTTGACGGCAGTGGTGGTTTTTTGGCTGTAGACTGCTCCAGGCTTTCTATAGTAATGAGCTGCTCAAAAAAGCACTCTACTTGGAGGAATTTTTCATGTTCATGACTGCAACCCCCTTTTTAGAAGTCACTCTTGCCGTGCAATCGACCTCTCAGTTCTCGCGGTTTTCAGATGAACGTCTGCCCATTTTGAGCAGTGGGATTTGAGAGTTTCTGAGCGCGTCTTTGGGTTCTTCCAATGGAAGTGATTCATTGCTCTTCTGAACTTCACTTCTTTAATTGCTGACTTCGAAGACAGCCATCAAAACCATAAAGAATTTCAGCCAAATCCATGGAAATATGTAGTGAAATCGAGATCATGGCTATGGTACTTTAAAATGGAAAATGAAATCCTACTTATTCTAGTAATCGAGTACACAAAATGACTCCTCTTATATACTGTTCTTCTGTACTTCACATTTCAACTGTGCTGCTAAGAATTGTTATTTTCTTAAATAAAGAAATAAGCAAATAAATGAGCACATATAGCGCAAGGACTAAAGGTGCTCTGCGATACATAGTAGGTCCTGATTTCGACTTCACTTTGGGCCATCCAAGCCTCCTGTCCCTCAGGAATCGGCAAATTTGTGGTAGGCTAGCATGGAAAAAGCCATTGGAGGAGTCAGTGAAGTGAAGAACGGGGAGCGCTCTAATGGGCACCCGCAATTCCGTGGAGGATTGCTCGATAGGCATTCACCTACATTCATGGATGAGATAAAATCCTCAAGAGTCAGCCGAGCTCACATGCAGAATTGCGAAGGATTTCGTGGATTATGGATGCAAGAACGAGTTAAATGAATGAAGTACTGCGATCCGCATAATGCTTGAAGCCGGACCATTACTAATAATTAATAATAGTAATGATAGCAGTAATATTAATTAATCAGTGATACATAGAGAATGAAACCTACTTGGCGGTATTTGTTGGTGTGCCTTCTCCAACTCTCTTTTTCTTTGTGTGACCTAGAGCTCTTTTTCTTTTCATGCTGCGCCAGTGTTTGTTCAACCCTTAAATGGTTTTCGAAGTGAAAGGGCGATATAGACGCCTATCTTGCAGTTATATATGTCATATTGCACCGTTTTTCAAGACAAAACGCTTTTCTTTGAGAAAATCGAAACCTTCTAGAAGAGCTAAACGGTCTAGGTCGTTAGCAATTACATTATCTTCTCACAAAAACCAGTTTTCCAAGTCGTTCGGGCTCGACCAGGCCGTTTACTGATTTTTGTAGCAAAACCGCCACCGCAATGAGCAAATCTCTTCTTTCCGGTTTTCACGTAGTAGCTACAATCTACAGTGCTTAGCTATCCGTTTGATAGTGGTGATGACCGGTTACCCACGACCTCTATGCTGTTCATTTTAGTTGGAAATTTAGTGGATCAACGTGAGCTAATCACAACTCGCACACATATTTCCTAGTAGCAATCACTTACACCAGAAGGTCAGGTAAAAGTGGCACCCTAGTTGTATTGTATTTGTGGCGAGACCATTTAACCACGATAGTTCTTTTATTTCTTCTAAAGACATTTTCTGCATGAAATATATGAGATTATGCTTAACTTTTTATCTAGAGCCCACTAATTTTTTACGGGAGGGTATTATGTGGAATATAGCGACAATGATGCTGAGACATTTGCGAAGCTCGTACACCAGTAAAATTCAAACCTGCGACTACACTGTCCGGAGGTTCACGTGTTATCCACTGCGCCGCTGAACCCTTTGCTTTCCCTTCTGTCAGCCTTACCCTATATATGTGACATATGACATGGTTCTCATAATGCTAATTTTCCTTACTTTCCGAAATCATACAGATTATTTAAAAGCTGCTTCATCATGTGATATATCTAGTTTGATACATGCTGAGCTGTAGAAGCTGACACGAAGCGCTTCATTTCTTTTATAATGGAGTGTTTCTTCCTATACTTTCTCATGTTCAAAGAAAGACTCGTTTATGAATAACGCACTACACTGTAATGAGGCCGTTTCTTGCTATTTCTTAGTGTCTTGGAGCCAGTTGGATTCCAAGATTGTTTTCAAACAGCTGAAGATCTCCAGTTGCTGAAACTACATCCATGGTTTTGAATCCTTAAGGGTTTGTTCTTTTCGTATTCTTATGAAGAGCATTGTCTTAAAGTATATGGAGTATGTTTTTAAATGTCGATAAGACCACGAGCTTACCGGCTCTCATAACAAGAAATGATTTATGTCATTTTTTTCTTGATTCCAGACTCTCACTCCTCATGTACACTATTTTTGGATTGGGAAGAGATTCCAATGAGGTTGTGTTGCCTTCTAGAATTGCTTATTACCAGGTTCTTGATGGGAGTTCTGGGCTGTGGTATGGCCTTGAATAGCGTATGGTTATTCATTGTTGTCAGAGCACCCTCAAAGTGTTTGAGTTTCAACGGCACTTGTTCTTACCACTCCATGATTGCCGTTCTTTGTTCAACGGGTTCTCCTAGGGAATGGCATGCGCTCCTTCCCAGTAACGTGCAGTCTCTCAGGTCCGCACATATCCAAACAAGACCACCGTCAAACATGGCCATTCGCATGTTACGGTCGAATAGTGATTGATTCTAACCCATACATTTGAGTTAAGTAACTTTGAAAACTATTTATGTGGAAATGTGGCGAAAAACGAAATAAATAAATTTTGTTAAACACCTTAGAAACGGAAGGGTACAGTAAAAAAGAAAGAAAAGATAGGAAATTAGGAAGTATAGAAGCTATTTAAACTGTGAAATCAATTTCTTACGAAAAGCAGTTCAGTTTGTTTGAGACACGTAATCTGCCTTCAGTTGTGCCGTATACTGTCTACTACTTTGTCGTACATGTTCTTTAGTAGTCAAACAGATGTGCAATGCATTTGTTTCGATCGGTCCCGCTCAGCTCGACCTGCCTCGATGACCTGTCGTGCGTCACGCCATGTCGGCGTTCCCATTTATTTCCACCTGAGCCGATCGTAAATAACAAGTTGTACCTTCGCAACTACTCCGCTCGTCGATGATGACGTTGCACATCTCATCCTGGGTTTCTCATAAACCTTCTAGCTACTATCATCCGGCGCACTTGGACATTAACCTTTCGTATTCGACAGCTTCTGGCGGGAACAGCCGTGTAGCGAGCTCATTCCGTGATTGTTTCTGTTCATCATGCGCGTCGTAGCGTGAACACAATGCAAGTATGGGACGAGAAGGCTCGGCGACACCTCGTCAAATGTGGTAACTGGCATCCAATCAGTGACGAGCCGTTACCCTCTCATGAACCTTCGTTTTCCATCTTCCATTCAGTTTCAATACGGTTTTCATCTGCTAGTTTATCACTAAAATAGGTGAAGAAGTAAATAGTTCCGTCTTTCCTCGCCTGTTTGCATTCTTCTTTGCTTTGTGCTCTCTGTGGTTTTCTTTTCCCAGGTATAGGTCAGCGTGAGTCTACAGTGTGACGCAAACACGTTGTCCTGATCTGCCTAGAAATGCTTTCAATTCTGGCTGCGTGTGGTGCTGATGTGCTTAATATTACTTCAGTATTACCTTTAAGCCTAAGAACAAAAAAGGACTGCCACAAGAATCAAGTTCTGTCCGATTTCAGAATTTTTCTAGTACTGAAAAAGACGGACTATTTTGCTTCTTTTTTCGGCAAATTTTGCATTTTAGAGATATTTAGTCCAAGCGGTTTGCATGTGTTGTCCGCTTTTAGTGGAACGTTATCATTCTTTGCCTTGTACAAGTACTACTTTATATAACGCTTTCATATATGCAGAAGTGTATGAAAGGACCTTCACTCTTATGACTGAGTAAGAAAACGTAGTGGTGAGAGTTAAACTATCGTTTAAATCTGTTCTCTTTTTCTGAATCTCCTTGCTGTAACATTTCCGAAATCCGCTGACTATGATAGTTCCGCGCTTCTTCGTCCAAAGATATAGAAAGTGAATTGAACTTTGGAGATCTGAAGAAATAATTTGGATAAGTCTTGTTTCTAATCGAATACATCCCTAATAGTCTTAAGCTTTCTGGTATACTCTTCTCCGACTTTCTATCGAAATCGCCTTAACACATTCAGATTTGGTTCAGTGGAGGACATCTTCCTGGACTTTTCTATTCCTTTTTGACTAGATTATCTTCTTCATGTTTACCAGAGAGCTTTTCGGCAAATGCAAACACCTTCACTGCTCCAACTTTCCTCGATTTTAATCATTGAATTATCAATGCCAACTACCTCGCAGTTATCTATCCAGTAGTGCTGAAGGGTGTCTAGGTAGGGCCTATTTCTTGAACTGTTTGATCAGAGTCTACTCGAGATCAATGTGTTTCTATATGGAACCTTTTCTTCGAAGCAATGACTTACGGATTCATTCTGAAAGCAGCCACTTCAGTGCAAAGACTTCCAAAGCGCTCCTCTCGCAATTTTCCCTTTTTTAGAAGCTCTTTTGCTTTTCCGTGCTCCTTCAACAAGTCCAAAATCCCACGCTGCATCTGTCCAAGGCGAAGTTGAACGAGTTTCAGTTTATCACCATACAAACTTTTGCAGTCGTCTGTCATGATTCTGTGCAATTTGTTCACCACTATTTTCTAATTAGCTGTTCCGAGCCGAGGCTATTCATCGCTCTCGGACCGACCTCGTTGCTTCGACAAAGGCGTTCCTCCCCGATTATCTTTCTCTTTGATTTCATCCACTTTACATAAGACTATGTCAAATTTAATTTTTCTAAATTATTTCTATACTGCTTTGATCCAGCAAAATGCCGACCTTTTCTTAAAATTTTCCTCACTGATTTCTGATTCTCCTCCAACCCATCGAATATCGTGTCTGGATAAATAAGTCGATAGAATCGAATTTGTTGACTTTTTTTAGTCTGGTTTTTTTTTCAGTCTTTTTCAGTTTTTCTTTCTTTCTTTCAGTCTTTAGTCGATTTCTGTTGGCAACACCTAGGGAACGGAGAACTCGTATTGGAATGTTATTAGACACCTTTCGATGCATGGATCTTCTTTTGATCATCGGCTTCGTCTCTGTTGGTAAGCCACTCTTAAACAGCTGCATTGTGATTTCTTCTTTAAAACTTGGTATTTTTTCCACCTCTGTGACGACTCCACTTTGAGTCTTCGGTCTGCTTTCAGTACCATCTAAAATAGGCCCCTATACTGCTAAACACTAATAGAACCTATAAGAGTTCGTGAAAGGAACTCGTTCTTTTCAGTGGAACGGTAACAGCAAATTAATATACTTTTCATAATTGAGAGCGAAATGGATAGTAATCACTAGTTCCATTTCATCCTATTCGTCTTTCCATGCGCATTTTAATTTTAGCTGGTTTTTGAAGGCTTACTGTGCTTTCACCAGAAAAGTCTTCCGAGTTTTTCGACGTTAATGAGTACCCGTTTGTTCTAAAGTCTAAGTAACAGAAGGAATATACCGACGTTATTATGACAACGGTATTAATGGAATAATGATACTTTGCTGAGAAAAAGAAATAAACTGCAGTAGGCAATGTGAGTCTACGTCTTGCGTTTGTATTATTCTCACGAATTGAACATAGCGGCAAACGTTATCTGTAATCGTTACATGCTTGGATACTCGTATAGCTCATCCGCACGCATCATAAGGCATCAGTGAATTTCCATCTGACCGGTATTCTGCTGTTTGGACAAGTGTTTTTTCTCGCTGGACGGTCTTCTCAGGTCGTCGACACAGGTAGCCGCCGACCCTCACGGAGCGGTCAGGTTTGCCACCTCCTACTCGCGATTGGCAACGGATTTCTTCGATTACGGCGGCGATTTCTGGTGTGGATCTATCTAGTCTGAGTTCACTAAAATGTTGAACTCATTTTCGACTTAGGTGACCTTCCTGGGTGATTAACTTTGTTCTACATCCGCACTGCTCTGAAGAAAACAGCGGTACCGCCATTATGGAAAGAATAAACGCCAAGTTCCTCTCGAATGTCGTCTCTGAGCTAGAGTAGAACGTCTGATAGAGTAACGAACAACGAACGCATGTTCCGTGGTGGAAAACCATCTATTTCTCCAGTTTTATACTAATTATGTTTATTGTCATGCGCCGTTTATCGTACATCTGCAATGCATCTGTTGCTTGCATTTTCTGAAAACTCTAGTAGTCGTCCTTAAAGGATAAAAGGATGGAGCTCTCGGCGTTCATCTATCCTTTAAGGATGTGCCGTGCATTCGACTTCATTAAGCATCATTTGGAAGTGATTGAATGCATATCTGGCCTTCATAATGACTCGCGGTGGCTTATCAATGTAGCGGACCGGTGCTGCTATCCTCCCAGAGAAGTCTGGTATTAATTTACCGACGCCGGAGTGATGGAAGTGGGAGGCCATGGGCGCGGGCATCGATCCCATGTGTATTGCAGCGTGCCTCCGACCACTGCACCACGCGCCTCTTTATGTTTTACAAAACCGACGGTCACTTAACTTCGGCATGAATGATCAACATCTTTTCAGATTATTAAGCTAACGCGTGGTTGTTATGAAAGTTTTATTCGGCTAGCGTTTCTGCCCGTTTGTCTTTATAAGAGCCGATTGAGCCAAGTCGATCGTCTACAGTTGTTCGTCCGCACGACGTGGTTCTTCTTAGTTGTACCATGTGGAATTTTCTGGAGAGGAACATCACTCGAGTGAAATCTCCTCACTCAGAAAGGACGCTTTCATAGGGGACGGTTACTGATCTATTGCCATCCATTTTGACCTGCTTTCAAAGTGCCACTGCATCCTGGAGTAGGTAGTGCTTATCGTCGTCAAAATCGACATTTCGGCTAGAACCAAACAAATAGTGGAGAAGAAAAGAACGTCATACCACCGCATTAGATGACATATAAGAAGGGGTGAAAGATTCACACATCTGTATTAGCCTTCAAAGCGATGTGTCTGCCGTTGAAAAGCTATCCTCCATATGTATTTCTTTCACTGATGAGCTAAAGTCTTAAGCACGATAAGCTTCTGTTCAAAAGAACTCCTCTGTATTAGCACCTTGCGTTTTTTAATTGGTATTGAAAAGGACACCATTGTTTAATATCCAAATCGTTTCTTTAGTGGCACCTTTATACGATTTGTTGAATCGCAACACTAGTTGCCAATCAGTAGTTGTGATCGTCGCCGGTCGACCGTCTCCATTCACTTTCACTGTTGGTGTAGTGGCTTAAGAAGGTCCTAACGAACTTCGAAAAGTGCGTGTTATAACTGTTCATCAGTAAGGGATCCAGCCTGTGAGTTTTGGTGGATAGGGTGTGAAGCTCGAAACAAAGGCAACTCTATGCCTTCGCTGAGGTATAACTGGATTCAGAGGCTGGACTCTCTGTGTCTGCTGTGCCAGATTAGCATATATGTACATAAGTATACTCATGCTTGCGTGAATGTGGTTGCTCATATGCTTACTGTATTTTGTTTCTCATTTGGACTAATATTCCTGTAAAAAAACGTGCCTTGGAAGTACTTAAAAGGTGTCAGGAGTCAACTCCATGAAGGGTTCTCTTCGCCATCTCTGCAGAAACCACGCAAGCTGCCTGTGATTGTGTCTAGTTCTATTTCAGAAAGTTTCCACTGGATATTATTCGTCGAAAGAAGCAAAAGCAGTGAGCCTTAATTCTGATCCTGTAGAGGCCTGGATACGGTAACGTTGAATAGGACAACCTACTAAAATCTCTGAGTATTCTTGATGCCTAGGTTTTGAAGGGCTGTATAAACTATCTGTGCTTTCAACGCACGTACGTAGTTTCAGAATCCTCCGTAGAAGACCTCATGATATTGGCTAAGCAAATTAAGTATAGTTTTATCTGATTGGCGAGGTAGCATGACACTGCCTATTAAGCCCACGTTTATGATGTCGGAGGTTTCTTCAACTATACGAAAATAAGGAAGTCGGCTGTGTTCATACCAGTTGCACTGCGAATTTGGCCACGGTGATTGATTCCTCAAAACTAAGGTAGCTAATGACCCGAGCAATGGGCTTATAGTTGGAAGAACTTGGCCCATTGCTAGCTATGAAAAGATTGGTTTTCTACTCTTCAGCACCAACCTATTACGACGACGAATTCGACGCTTTCTATGTGGGCTTGAAGATGTTTTACAAAGAAGATCATATCTTCCATAGATTTGTTACTGGCGAGCTCAACACATCTAAAGAATTTCCCATTGAAACCCACGAATTTGAATGAAATGAATAGTGGAAGCTTCTGTCCCAGTATATCAAAGCGACCAAGGATTTTCGTGGTAACTAATAATTCAGGAAGCACTATTCACGTTGAGTGCACGATTCTTCGTAGAGAACCTCATATAAAACAGACAGTACCGGATTTCGAAAGTTTTACCTGACCCATATAATTGTTTCTCCAACATTTTGTACGGGATCGGACCATCCTCTCTCTTTCGCACAAATTTCATTTTTTTTTCTGTTAAAAGAGGTAAAAAGAAACAACTCAGGAGACGAATTTCGACAGCTATCACCCGTCACAAATTGGTGCTTATTTACTACTTAACTAGTTGTTGTGAAGAAAACATTGTCGACAACGTCGAGAATCAATACTTCTGGTTTATTCAGAACCTTCATGTTGGTGCCAGAAAACTCCTGTGTTCAGAAGTCTCCTAGAAACGTCTGTATTGGGAAGAATTCGAGTTGACACGCCAAAGTGAATCGCGCTATATACACATAATCACCAGCGTACAAATTTTCACATCGAAGTGGTAAAAGTGTTTTAAAGAAAGAATAGCGACAGCGTATGTGAAGCTGAAGAGGTTGGAGGAATCATTCACAACACCAGCTGTACTTCACCGATTACAAAACTAAGGTGGCTGCTTTCCAGCGCCCAGACTATATTCACTACTGCATCCAGAACGACAGTGGAGAAAGTTTTCCACATATCCACCCATCCTTAAATATCGCTGACTACAACCATTCTCTTCTATTCAAGTCATGGGGACGGATACGTCGTCCGAGTGGTTTTCCTTCCCTGAAAACCCATACAGCACCCGGTCCGAAAAGGATTAGACCAAAACGTCTGCATAACATTCCGCCTGTCCTCATCGATGCACTTGCTCAGTTCTTCACAAAATAACTCTTAAAATTCAGGTCCAAATCAATTTGAAATCTTCAAGCCCGTATTTTCCCACAAAAGGGAGACCTGTACAATAATGGCAAAGTACCGACCATTCTGCCTACTGTCGGTGACTATTAAATTACTCTCCCATATCGTTTTCAATAAAATTAGTGGAAGACTAAAAAGAGTGTAGCCATGCGAGCAAGCAAGGTTCAAAGAGGATTACAAAGAGGTAAGGCGGATCGCATTACACGATGGTGAACTCATGTGTCCCGAGAATGCAAAAGATGGAATTGGACCACTGCTATCTAAGCAATATAGTTATTGAGTTAAAAGAGTTTTTCGACTCATTTGAGGCAGAAGCTCTCATGAACGCTCTGGACGACTGATGTACTCCTGTAGAGAAGACAAAGACCTTTTATAAGTTACACAGCAATGCACCAATCAGAATTTTATCGCTTTACAACCACATTGACATTGCCTTGAAATGAAGCGTCAAAAAGGTGATAGTGTTACGCCAAAATTATTTACAGTCAGTTTCGTGAACGCCGTACGAAAAGTAAAAACGGATAATATGTGAACAAAAGTAGGTGATTCGCAGCTACACCACCTTCGCTTTGTTGACGATGTCGTTCTTATAAGATCAAGCATTAACTAGACGGAACGAGGGCTGGACAATTTCCACAGCTTGTTCTTCATGGGAAACAGATTCAGATTTTGCTCTCTCCTTCACGCTCTTCGGAGTAAATATCTCCAAATGCTCCAGCTTCGTGTACGTGAATCGCGAGTAAGCACGATAGAGGAAATAGCTGCAGAACTAAATAGTTGGACGCGTGAACCTGGGAGAGTCACAGAGGGGAGGATATGAAGAATGCAGCGAACAAGCCTTGGCTCCATACCCTATCGATTTCGGTCCTATGACTGCTGCCATCTCAACGTACTCCTGGGAAACGACGCTATATAAGCAGTACAAGAGACCATTAAGCGTTATCGAACGAGTTTTGAGACGGTGGTGGTACAAACATCTCGAACGAAAACGAAAGAGTAATTTCAACGTCCAATTTGCTCGACAAACAGTAATCGAGGACGCTATGTAATACGTACAGAGTCAAGAATCAAATGGGCGACAAGAGACGTTAGCGATCGGTTCACATGAGAGGTAACGTCTACAGGACTCCAGCCTTCTTCTGTCATGGTTGCTAAGGAAATCTAGTCTGTGCTTCATCAACTTCCACCAACGTCAGTTGCCCATTTCATGTTCACAGGGAGGAGAATACTCAGTTTATTGCCTTCTTTCTAGTTTTACTCTGAATCTTACAAACAACAGTAGAATGTGGCGCATATGAACAGGGATGAGGTGTTCGGTTTTAGAAATTGATAGAAATTTCAAATGCTAATGTATAAACAATACTGCCTCCTGTTATTAACATAGGTACATGTTTGAATCATTTTTTCTCGCATGTCAGTTGCAGATGCATCACGTCCTCGACGGTCATGCCGACATCACTACCTGGCAAATGTCTATAAAACGTCGGTGCTTCCACTAAAGGGTGAAGAGGGCGTCTTCAACATCGTTTGCCACATGCCTTCTGCTGACGATGATACAGTTGCGACCGAAGTTCACTCAGGACTTTCCAGAGCGCACAAGGTCACCGCAAGTCGGAGCGTGCACTTTCAGTGAGCAAGCTGTTCATCTATGTTTTTTATATCTTTAGGCTTTTTACAGTAGCAATGCCGGTATCCGTGCCAATAAAAGCATGTTCTGAGCACTTAAGCGAAAAGACGTTGACATTTTAGAAAACCAAATTGAGCTGCAATATTAAGGTTATGAACCAAAACGTGCAATCCTTGTGGACAGAATTAAAGGCATGATATGTTTTCCTCTATTGACCCTTGATGGCGGAGGAGATGCACCAGAAATTGGGTATTTCATGACATCAACGTTTTCAAAGAAGCAAAGATTGGTATTCTTCCATCGTAATCGTCCTCGATGGTGTTTGTTTGGTTTGAGGCATGTGTACGGCGAAAACCCTGTGATCTATAAATTGTTCCCATCTCTGAGTGCAATTAGTTGAAGTGAGCTATAAGTACGTTTCCTGTTTGTCATTATGAAGGATACACTCATATTTCGATATACTTTCCCGGATATCTTGACTATGATATAATTTTCGGAAGTTTGAATTGAGCAGTCTGGTCCGACTTAGCGATGTGTGCTAGTTACACTTCAAAGGACATAGTTTAAGCTCTCCGTGGGAAGCGCTTTAACTTTTCGTCATAATTTTTGCCAGCTCACATCTCCATTGCAAAAAAGAAAGCTGAGTTCCAAGGTTGTATATCCTGCAAAGGTTTCATGGAGCCTTCCCCTTCAGAGCAGCTTTTCCTTCACGTCCTTCTAGCTCTGGAAGGAAACATGATGTAGTTTCTACAATTATAGAATCATCCAACTGTCTAAGCAACAGCTATTCTTAGCCCTCCTTCTCCTTACCCCCTATAGAGTGTCTTCGTTATCCACTTCAATGCTGCAGTAAACACTTTCGGTGAGATTATGTCAAAAAGTCGCAGTCTTTCTTCTATAGGTATTGCAAAAAGTCGAATGAAGAGGTCAGAGAGAGAGAGAGAGAGAGAGAGATTTTCACGATGCCACTGCAGTAGTAGCCGGCTCGAGTTCTTTTTAGGTTCCATCCACTCTCCTTCCTATGGAAATGCGACCAGTTCCTGGTTAGTAATTGTACCAGGTAGTAATATTGTGGGCCCTGAGCGGTACATTGCTCCATACGCTTCATCGTAACTCGAAATTTGTAACGAAGAATTTGGAGAATGTGACAGTCCTCTACTGGAGTTGTGAGACAGGAAACATTCAGAAACAGTAGAGCGTTTCTAATATCACTTCCCTTTCGTATCGAGATGTGGTATTACTCCTGTCCTCATTCACAAAAGTTGGTGGCCGAGTATTCGCGAAGATGCAAACGACAGTTCCTTGTAATGGTTCATTTTTTTGAGCCGCTTTTACTGTCCATGTCGGGTGTTCTGCAATCAAGTGTAGCTTCAGTTTTCTTCCTTAACATACTAGAGCAGCGACACAGTGGTTATAGAGATGCAATCCAAATTACCTGAATGAACTACATTTCTCACAATTTTTGGCTCCAATGACGTGCAGCTCCTAGTTGTCGATCTGGTGTTTCCTGATTTGCCAACCATTCGAAGAATCGAGTCCATTCACAATCGTTTCGTCTCACAAATCTTGAGTTCTTTTTTTGTGGCATAACCGAGTCTTCGAATTGGGATGGCGAAAGTCGAACCTACTTGAAGAGGATATCACACTACGAACCAGTTGTGATTTCGTGCCCCCATGTGGTCGATCTTTGCATGTAGTGCGATTATACAATCCAGCAGAAATTTTCATTCTTGAAAGAGTGTTTTTTACGGAAGCACCATCTGTGGACTGTCTACCACCAAGTCACTTTTCCTTCTTATTTCAGCCTCATACCTAATTTTTCTGATGATTGTTTATTTTCACTTGACCGTTTTCCTATCACGAAATTTCCTCTGCTTTGTTGGTAAAAGTTCTGTTTCATTTTGCCACTTGTAGTGATGACACATTGATTTTGATGTAACTTGCGACCTTAAGAACAATGTGAACATCGGTGTCTGAAAACACTTCGAAAATTTTTGGTGCGGAGCAAAACAGTCTCCATGGCGTACTACGTGCTGTTGTCCCAGTAAAATTTTCTGCAATGTGGGATTTGATCGTCTGCTCTCACTTTCTGTTTCACTGCCAGACATTTTAAACGGTGGCTTCAAGCGTACAGTAAGTCGAGACTGTTTATTGCTGCTTAGTATGAGTTGTTTTTCTTATAGTCCCGAGCGGAGATGATCTTGCTATAATGTCTTCAGGTGGAGCGAAATTTGCCACCTGAGGTCAAGGCCGCTTCTAAAATTCTTCGCTCTCTGGCACTGGTTTGCTTTTGGATAAGCTTATGAATGAAAATGTCGAACTCCTTATTAGCACGGGAGACCTTGCTAGAGAATAAGCACCATCCAACCTCAAGGGTGTGGTGAATCACTGGGATTTGTTGTGCTATATTAAAGTTCATAATGAGGACCATGTGTTCATTAGAGTTGCAGTATTTGTTTTGATGTCAGGAAAATTTAAGATATTGGAGGTGATATCAGTGAAGACCACGTGAATCTCAAATATTCATGCGTTCAGTCTACGTTCTTTTCTGTCAGGAATGTGTTCACAATGGTTTGGTCCACCTCCTCTTCCGAGGCAAATCGAGAGATAATTCTGCAGAACTGAATTGATCTTCTCTCGAGTGAACTGTCATTTCTTTTAGTAATCATAGTATTTTGAAGGCCTCCTGCTCAAAACCTTGCCGGGCATTCAGTAGGAAACAGCGAAGATTGCTAGCATTAATTGTCTCTGAAAAGGAAGAAATTTACATTTTTTCTACCTTAAAACCGGTTTCCATTAAACCTCGCAACAATAGTCAGTAATTTTCTGTATTACTGAGCTGGAACGAGGTCGGTATAAAGTCTTATTCGGCTAACGTTTCACCACCTTCACCTTTCTCAGAGCTGCGTTGATCCTTATCGATTGTCCATTCTGATATTTGGAGTACTGAGTCGAATCCAGTGGAAGGAGCACCGCAGCGAATAAATGTCTATATCTACCTCGTGTCAGCTCAATCATTTAAAAACCCTCCCTTTTTGATTTGCGTGTTAGTATTCGTGTACTAATTAATTTATATATTTCACTGGATTTGTGTATTTTTTAAACACATTCGCGATGCGCGATGGCATGACCTCTATAGGAGCCATTTGCGAGAGAATATTGTGGCCGGTATGATCTCTGTGCATTAGTTAACTTTCTTTCTGAAGGCTCATTTCGGAACCCAGAACGTTTCCTCTAAATACACTTCTCGTAGTCGATCAATAGCTAACCTAACACATCTAGTGGGTACCGGAAGGGAAAAAGTGTATTCTGGGCTCTAAATTATACGAAAAGCCCTTCAAGAACGGTTTCGTTGACTAATTTGCCTGGCAACTAACTGCTACTTCACTTAGAATCGCAATGGTGATTTATTATTATGGTAAGGAATGGATGGAGGTAAAAAATGCGCCAGCAGACTCAAAACAAGGGGCAAAATATTTCGAAATACTAAAAGCAATGTGGTTGTGTGGTAGAGCGCAGTAACGTGTAAGTGATAATATACATGCCCACATACTTCTGGAGAAATGGGTCAAAATCTGCCCCATAATTCTGTCGTCTTCTCATCACCTAAAATCTTCTGCATATCGAAAAACTAGCTTTCCTCAACAACGTAAACCCTGTGGCGAATGTGTTAGTGATTGAATAACGACATGATACTAATGCACTTCAAGATTTGAGAAGAAAAGAAGGACGACAATGCAAAACGATTTCTCGAAAAGTAGCCAGTCTTTCCGTACTTTATAGGATCTTGGACCTTTCGATACTGCGCGAGATGATTCGAACGTCTGATTGTAAACAGTCACTAATGGTTTCATGGGATCGACTTTCACTATCTAGAAGGTTTGTTGGTACTGACATTTTTGGCGAAAAGAAAAACATCTTCAAAGCGAAGCTAAGGTTTATCATAGACGATGACAGAGCTTTTTTGGTGAAGTTGGTAATTCATGTTATTCTGAAGCTTACTTGTTGTCAATACTGCTTCCTTATTATTGTCCTATATAAAAATTATAGGTTTTAATAATTAGTATTCTAAAAACTCTTCCAAACGGTTTACCGCCTCATCGTTGCTGGCAGGTGTTCCTGTGTGTCTTACTGTGATGTACAGCGGCGGATTCATACCCTCGGCAAGGTTTCACAAGCTGAGGAGTCCGGCGTTTCCATCAGGAAACCCAGCTAAGAGTAAACCAATACCAGGATCCCCCAACGTTGTATTAAACTAGTCTTGTGGTGGCAAATCTCCCTCTGATCCACAAGAGACGCGACTGCTTGTGGTGGTGAAGACCTGGGGAGACTGGCCTAGCTGACCTCGGGACTCCATGCAACCGCAATGGCTAGACCAGAGAAATTTTGAAAAAATGGAGATTATGCTGGAGCCAGGACAATCAGTGAGGACGGGTCATCAAAGTATCCAAATGTTCTAGAAGCTGCCACGAGGACTTGTCTTGTCCACTGTAGGATATGCAAAGTTATAGACGAAATTAGAAACCTTTCTGTATCAGCTCTGTTTCTTAAAGAGCGTTAGTTAGCTGTCATCGGGGTCGGGTATGAAATAGATACTAAAGCAGTTGACATATGAATAAATTTTTTGAGTTCCACGTCATTTGTTTCACTTTCTGAAGGCTAAAATCTATTTGTAAATTGCTTCAGTGTCTCCAGTAAAAATATAGTAAAAGTAAAAATATGATTTGATGCAAATCAAGCTGTGCTCATGACATCTCAGAATTTCTCCGTTTAGCGAAAAATATGCTGATACTTTTATAGAAAAAGCGACATTAAGTGTGTGCTCAATTGAATGGACCGTTGCTATGGTTTTAGTAGTAATTTGGACGCTCCTTAACCTTTGCTAAAGTGAGAGAATTTCTTGCCTCTACTCCATCACTTATGAGTGCTGTGATCACCGAGTAATTCGGACGGGCCTAATAAAGCCTTCGTATGCCCCATCTTCACGGATCCCCATCACAAGGAATATCAAGTGTGCGCTTTTAAATGGATTGTATTCCAGAGGTTAATTTTGCCAAAAACTTGCAATCAAGTAACTGGAAAGTATATGGGAGGCGGTTATGAGTTGCCTCCAACAAAAAAGCTCCATGTGCACTTTGGAAGAGACCGGCAAGCTATCCGTGTGTATACCTAGCTCCCACGTTCAGAGCCCAGCAAGCCATACGTGGGTATCAAAAAAGTTAAACACAATAAAAGAAACGGGTGTCATTCTCCTGACCCCAAAACATCCCACGATAAGACAGTCTTGAGAAGAACGAGCACGGAGAGGCTGCTAAGCTCTCAGGGTATTTGGAACGAGCTAGATGAGCGCCTTTTCGAGTTTATCGTGACTACCAAGACCATTCATGATAGCTCTTAATTCCAGAAGCCCACTCTTAACGTTGTACGATGTATTTTTCCAATAGAGGGTGCAATGGATTGAATCGTAGTAAATCGCACATTTTGGCTAACCAATGTCTCTGTTTTTCATAAATTTTACATGAAAGCGGACCATCATCTCCTTCGCGCAAGATTTCATTTTCCGCGGTAAAGGAAAAAAACACAAAATTCAAAAAAAAACAAAGTACCAAAACCAGCATTTAGTGCGATTCATTCAGTTGATCAGTCGGCTGTTGAGAAGATGTGCCTTTCTTCATAACATCGGCGAGGAATGCGATCAGATCCTTGTATTTATACACATTTTTATATGTATATATATATATATATATACATATATGTATTCATGCATGTATATGAATACACATAAAGATTCTTTGCTAGCTGTACAAGAATTTCACAGCCAAAATATCACCATTCTATAGCGATATTAAAGTCGACGTAACGAGAGGGATTAGGCAAGGCAACACCGTCTCGACAAAATTGCTTACCATCGCCATCGAGAACATCTCGAGAACACTGGAGTGGAGTAGCATGAGAGTGGAAATCGACGGTCAGCAATCACACCATCTTCGGCTCGCTGTTGACATCGTTCTTCTAACAACAAGCTCTAGTCAAGCGAAGCAAATGCCAGCCGACTTTGGTAATGCGTGTGGAAATCGACTAAATCTCAGAAAAACGATGTTCGTGATAAACGGATTGATTTCATATGTCCCATTCACTTTCAACAGAAGGAAAATCTTTGAATTTCCCAGCTACATCCTATTGCATCGGAAAATCAACACATTGAATGATCTTGCTCCAGAGTTCGCCAGCGAGCGAGCACCTTTGGAAGCTTTCAAGAGAATCGAGGTTGTAATGAAGAGAACAAAGAAGACTCGACTCCTTACCCACATTTTCGATTTTACGATTTTTCCTCACCTAACGTATGCGTCAGAAACCTGGTCGCTACGTAAGCAGGATGAGGGATCACTGAGGGTTATAGAACATGTAGTCGAAATGACGATGCCTCACCACACAAGTGAAGGAGGTTATCCGAAGCTGCTATCTGCGGATTTTTGATTTGCTTGTTTGCAGTGCACCTGCCATCAACGAAGTTCTTCTGGTTTGCATTTAAGTTGGAATACTGCTTGAGGATTTTTGGTCTTCCTTATGGATGTCGACAGATGAGTAAATTCTCCGGAAATCTTGAGGTACCCCTGCTAGAACTTTCCCACTTTTTAAGCGCGGACAGTCACTAGTTCTCATGTGAGAAGAAGCACCCGGCTTATTCCGGTACCCATTTCCGGCCCAGAAATAATGAGAAGGTTGGTTGCCCAGGGTCGAACGATGGTCATGTGCGTCTAATTAATTAAGTGTAATTTAATTCGAATCCTCCCAACGTTTACCGCCTCATCATGGCTTGGAGGTGTTCCTGGGTGCCGGTCTGCGATGTACAGCGGTGGGATTCATTCTCCCGGCCGGGTCTCCCAAGGTGAGAAGGAGTCCGGCGTTTCCATTAAGAAGCCTAGCTAGGAGTAAACCAATACAAAGATCCACCACCTTCCTGATATTAAAGTCGCATAGTAGCAAATCTCCCTGCGATCCACAAGAGCTGCGACTGCCTATGGTGGTGAAGACCTGAGGCAAACTTTGGCCAGACTGATCTCGGGATTCCAGGGAACCGCAGTGACTTAACCAGCAAATCTCCAAAAAACGGAGATTATGTTGGGGCTCGCGCAACCAGTGAGGGCGGGTCATTCAAATACCAAGTAAGTACAACCACAACGTTGCTGAGATATTTGCAAAACTCTGGACCGCAAGTGTCTATGGTGGGGAACTAACGCGCTATTGTCCTTTCCGGGGAGTAACGCGTTCACCACCACACCATACGGGTCCTTCGTTTCGCCTGTCTATCAGCTATTTCTACCGATCTTTTCGCCACAGCAATCACCCGTCACCGGGTTGATCTGGGGAGCGCAAATCGGCATGGAACCCAGTTAAGCTATGGCTGTAGTTGAAATCACAATGTTTAACGTTTTGTGTTTTCTGCCTTCTATAATTTTCATGGCAGGTTACTAAGCGAATTACAACCACAACGTTGCTGAGATATTTGCAAAACTCTGGACCGCCTGCCTTCTATAATTTTCATGGCAGGTGGTTACTAAGCGAAATACAACCACAACGTTGCTGAGATATTTGCAAAACTCTGGACCGGTCCAGAAGAAATTATAGAAGGCAGAAAACAAAACGTTAAACATTGTGATACCAAGTAAGTAGTTTGATTCCATTACTGTTCTCTAGAATTTGAAGTCCAAATAAAGTGGAACTTCTGCACAGCACAAAATTATTGTTGTAATTATTGGCTTTGAATTGTCGAAAGAATTTGCTTTCCTACCTTGGCGCTCATCTTTAATACCGTAGTGCTTACTGAATACTCGGTTCTCTCATTTATTAGGGCATTAAAACTAAATGAGTAATTATCGGCTCTATTAAAAATACAGAAGACTGAGTTCTGTTGATGACTGTGACCATTACGAGTTGCTTCGCCAGTCATAGAAAGTGTTACAGCAATTGACGGTGTATTTCGAAAATAGCATTAGCTGAAAATAAATATACTTATCAGCCTCGTGTAAGCTCATCAAAGAAAGAGTTCATACTAATAGTAATGTTTCAGAGCGCGTTTCACTCTGGTGTCGCTTCTGAACGAGAGCCTCGAAGTGAACTACGTGGAAGGTGAGAACGAATGCAGTGTCGTAATCTTCATATATAACTTGCACTGTCCGTAACCCCCTCTAGTGCCTCGCGTATGCTCAGCTAAGTAATTTTCTTTCGTCCCTCTTGTTCATCACAGGTGTGTGATGAGCACGGTTCACCTAAACATCAGAACACCGCCACCGCTTCTGTAAAACGGTCTTTATCTTTACTTTTTATCCCAGTCGTCAGGCTGTATTTCTGAGCTTGATATGCCCACAGCTAATAAGAACATTATATTTAAAGATCCATAGTTGGGCATGTGTGGATTAGAGTGCACTGCGATACGCACTAATTGTTAATGGTTAATTAGTTCGAATTTTTGGAATAAAAGTAGGACAGAATATGCTCTTTCATGAAGTCCACAAGTTGAAACTTTGGAAAAAATCCAAAACTGGAGCAATTGCTTAATCGTATATTTCAACAACATCATTTAAGGCAATGAGCAGGCGGAATACTCGCTGGTCGGGCCGAGGGCCGGCATACGACACATTTTGCCGCATAACTGGGCCGACGACATAGAAGCTACCGTAGTGGCGTCCCCTCTTCTATGTAGACAGAAGACTGTGCTTCTGCCGAACTGTCTCTTTCGATCAAAGGTTGATCCATTAACTCATAAGATAAACTTAAACGAAGCAGAGCACTATAATAACCAAACGTGTATTACATGATAGTGCACTACCAATATTACTTTGTTATCGCAATTCCCGCCTGCGATTGATTTCAGGTGGTTGTGAGTGTAAAACCAGGTTCGACATGGATTTGGGAGTTTGCATTCCGCAGCCAAAGATCTGATCAGATCCTCTTCTCTCTTCACACCGTTCACTCACAGATAGTACATATCCGAATACAGAAAGGTGAATTTGCTATTTGAATTGTTATAACATGCCGGAAATACAGTGAAGGATAGAAGGTAATCCTTCGTTTTCAATCGGTCGCTGAACAATGAGTCGTTTTTCTTTTGAGTGTTTCCATTTTCTTCCTCGAAATCTAGATACATAGTTACATAAACGACAAGTCTCCCAACGGTGTACCGCCTCATCGTGGCTGAGAGGTCCTCCTGGGTGTCTGACAGCGGTGTACAGCGTGGGGATTCATCCCCGCAGCAGGGTCTCCCAATTTGAGGAGTCCGGCGTTTCCATCAGGAAACCTCATTAAGAGCAAACCAATACCATGATTTACCACCGTCCTGGGTGGTGGCAAATCTTCCTCTGATCCACAAGAGCGGCGGTTGCCCGTGGCTGTGACGACCTGGAGCAGACTTTGGCCAGGCTGGCCTCGGTACTCTAGGAAACTACAATGGCTCAACCAGCAAAACTCCAAAAAATGAAGATTATGCTGGGACCCGCACAATTAGTGGAGGCGGGCCATCCAAGTATCCAAGTAAGTACAAACGATAAGAACTGTAATATTACTTGCCTTCAATGTCGAAACACTCGGATTTGACCGGTACAATAACTCTTGGAGATATAGGAATTTAACAAGTCATTCTTCTGTCCACCCAAACTAGTTGAGTACTAATTCGCCGACCCCGGAAAGATGGAAGACTTAGTTTAAGTATGCGTGGAGTCGAAGCAATCGCACACGTGTATTACAAGGAACTACAGTTTGAGGGCGTTATATAGATGTGAATCTTGGAAAGAGCGTTGTTACGAATGTGTTACATAAATAAACAGTATTGGAACGTGATTACACTCATGATAATGGCGTGAAAGAGAAAAATTGACCAAATTCGATAATACTGATGAGTGAGTCCTTATGCTTTCCAGTGAAACACGTCACAGAGGAACATGGTTTTCACTTTCCTGCTAAAGCTGCAATAGAGTATGTTCAGATTTCTTCCTGCGTGTCGACTCCGAGCCGCTGATTCCGATCGGTCAGCTATCCGATGGCCTGTGGCATACGGTGACCATCTATTCGAAGCATGGCAGTGTTCTCTTTACAGTTGACGACTCTTACGAGATCCACTTGCCGCAGTTCACTCCTCAGGAGTCGAGGTAAGTTCAAGCTTTTTAAATATCTTAAGCAATACCATCCAGAGCTGTCCCTATCTAACCACGATAAGCTTTAAATTTTTTATAACTATGGGTATAAATCATCCTACCATTTTTGATATACTTAGGTCATCCGTCTCCGTGCACTATGTACTATGGGTCTCATTACAATTTCTACCCGCTTAGAACGTCTCTAGTTTTCCGGTCGCAGGTTTTTCCCTTGAGTATCGAGAAACCGGAATAAAACCTCTCTCAAGTGCTACCACATTCTTTGGCGTATGAGGATGAGCGACTCTCATTCCCTCGTGATTAGTTTTTTCCGCGATATTTGCGACTGCTTTCACTGGTTTCCTCTTTTCTGGGTTTCTAGATTGAAATATTGAATTCGCTGGTAGCTTGGATGAGTCTCCTACTTGACGAACTTTTCAGTACGTCACCCAAAACATCCCCAGAGGTGGGAAACCACTCAAGGATCCTATATTAGTTATATTCTGCATGTTCCTACTAGTCGTATAGTTGTAATCGTTTAATCACATGTATGCTTAGATATGAGCAAAACTCGGAACCATAGGTGAGCTTCGAACTACCTTTGAAGGTTCTGAGGTTCTGAATTTTGCTCATTTCTTAGCAACTTTGTTTTTGTATTTCGATTAGTACTCTGCTATACAAAAATGAATAAGCGCTAAAGAAAAATACAGATATTGCGATTTTCATCGTTTGGTTATTAAAGCTTCGAAATAGTTAGTAACAAGTTCCGTTATTCAACCTTTTTTCTGTCAGTATCAGCTGGAGATTATCTCCTAGTTTGTTATCTTAAAAAAAGCACTTTTGTCTGACACCATATCTCAATAGAGTAGAGGAGACAAAAGTCACAGAATATCTCTTTGAGACGGTTCACCATCGCGTACTAAAAGGTGCAAAATTCGGCTAGATAGATCCTACCATTTTTGGATTTTTGCTTTCTATTAGATTAGTCACTAAGCTCACTAAGATAGACTTAGTTCTGATTTGTGTCCACTTATTTGAACTAGTACTTACTACGAATTTTCAAAAAAAAAAACAAAAATATTTCAAAAGTACTGATCATAATCAGTATTATCTTCGAGAAGAAGACCGAGATAGTTCAATATCGGTACATATATTCCTCAGCATTTTTGAGAACTTATTCAGATTATCTGCCATTGCGGTCGAGGTGGAGGGCGAAATCCTGCTCATCGATCCTCAAGACACCTCTGAAAACTGCGAATTGAACGAACGGAGGCAAGCGGTTGGGTAAGTACCGATGCTTGTACTTCCTAGTTGTTTTATGGCAATTCGCTCTTCTACAACAGCTTTGAGATTTCAGTCTTCCTAAAATCAAACTGATTATGTTAGGAGGCAGAATTTAGGATAAGAAGTGCTAACTGCCTTGTTTTGTATGCGAGGTAGAATTACTTGTTGCGTAGAGTCGTAGGTGCGAAAAGTTGACGGGCATTCCAACTCTATTTGTTCTTCATTCGCAGCTAGACTGAGCAGAAGTCCATCCTCTTTAATTTGCCGACATAGAAGACTGCAAAACCTCTATTTGTTTACTATCCAAAGAAGCGTTGAGCAAAGCCCATATCGTCCAATGTTTTCTCTCTCGCATAGCCGTAGAGCCATAATATATATTCAATTAGAAATATTTCATTCATTAAATCTTATGTGGCTTATTTTCTATTTGCTTGCAGATCTGCTCAAAAGAGGCGATTTTGTTCTGGCTGTGATTGCGGCATCCTCAAGGGTATTTTCGAGAACTTTCCAGCTTCTCCTATCTGCTCTCAGAGCAATGATAAAGGTAGTTCTATCCTTGGCACTGAACCCTTAATTTTCTTCTAACTTTCATGCTTTCCTTGACGACGGCTAGTAACAAAGTACTTCAGTGTCAAATTTTTGCAGAGGATTTGCTAGCACTTTCGAAAACCTCCCATCATCAACCACTTTACAGCGTACCATATGATGCGGGATACGGATCGGCTCTCATTCTTCTTCGTAAAATCTTCCTACAACATTCCTGAGCACTCAGAACAAAGAGTTCGAATCGGACTGAGCTACAAAAGCGATTCGGTAACAAAAACAAGCTCATGTAAAAAGACGAAGGCAACGTTAGCTAAGTGGTTTGTTTCAGGACATTGGCCTGCTTTTGTTCGGATTTTGGCAGAATGAAGAGGAGAAGGGGCGTTTCCAAGTTCACTATACGGGAAGAAATCTGGCTGGAATATATTGTGTGAACGTCGACGAGGAAATCTGCCGCGGTTGCACTCTCTATGAGATGGAAGGTTGTCACTCTTATGTCTAAGATAACATAGCTTTCCGTCATCTATTTCATTGTCTACGGCTCTTATTAAACCACTTGAAAGTTACTGTTAACACCAAAACAAAAAAATTGGAGTCTATGAAGACTTAATGACCTTGAATCAAGTCCTTATCATGTTTTATTATAAGCATAACTAGGGTCCTAAGCTGAAACAGTGTAGCCAGCCATCTAGAAACATTATCGTGTAGGAAATACAGTAGCAACAGTAAAAGCGAAAGGAGTATGCGAACTTCTCTTTTACAAAGTACTCCAGTAATTTCTTGGTTTTCAATGAAGAACATTTCGTATTATTCGAAGCTGTCCAATACAGTAATATTCCCGAGGAAGTAGTCATTGCAATTGTAAATTCCAAATCTCGATTATTCGAATTCATAGTTTCATTTTAGGCTTCGGTAACGACAAATGGCATCGTGTCTTGTTTTTTGAAATCGACGGTGAGATATCACTTGTTGTTGACAGAAGCATCTGCATCCTCCGCCAACACGACATCAGCAACAACTTCAGTCTGGCCGGTAAGAATATGTTGCTCGTCCTGTGAGATATGTTGAAAAAAGCCTGAAGTTCTCTTTCTTTTAGAAGTCTATTCTATTCCTGTGCTTGCTACTGCAAGTGCGCTGTTTATCGGAGGGACGTATTACGAAAAGAAGAAAGCCGATCTGTACCTGCCGAGTTTCGAACACAAGTATTTCGAAAACACGCGAGAAAAAGTGCCGTCGCTAAGGGTTGGTTCTTCTTCTTCGTCAGTGGAGTTAGACTAGTGCTGTGAATTTCAGGGATGCCTAAAAGACGTCTATGTAGATGGCACTAAAGTCGATCTGACGTCGATCTACGGCCAACAGATGAAGACGACGCTGATAAACCCTACTGACGACAAGGCATACGCAATTCAGGTTGTTTTTCGATTTTTACAAAAATATCCCGAGATGTTGAAAATATCTCAGCATTATTTTGGTTGCATTTCACATAATACGCCTCCATGAAAAAATAGTAGGCAGTGAATAAAAAGTTTTACATTGTGATTTCGACTACAACCTCGGCTTAACTGGGCTCAATGCCAATTTTGCTCCTGAGATCATTACCATTGAGGGGTGATTGCTCATGGACCGTTAGGGTAAAAAACTGAGAAAGAGAGAAAGGCAAAACAAGGACCTCAGTGGTGCAGTGGGTAACAAGTCAGCGCACATGACAGGTAGTCGTGGGTTTGAATCTCACCTGCGTTCTGAATCTTACGAATATCTCAGCATCCCTGCAGTTGTACATCACATAATACCCTTCAATGGGCAAGTAGCAGGCAGTAAGTAGAAAGTTCCACATTATGAAAGGATTCTGAACTTGATGTAGGCCAACTCCTGAGGGATGCTCTGTGCATTCGACTTCGTTAACCGTTTTAGGTATTATGAATGTGTCGTTTTCTTGTTCAGAAATTGCGAGGCTGTTAAACAGCATACATTTATTTCCATAGGGAAACAATATAATACAACAGTATCTGACGTTTCGGCAGTATCGCCTTCTTCAGAGCCTGGAAGGGTATACTGATATACAATCTACTAGGCCAAACGCTTCAATAACACTTACAAAAAGACGAAAAACTCTTTGGTAATCACATGATCAACAACTTCTCGAAAAAACCCACCGCTTTTTCGTGACTTCCAATGAGGAAGTTTAGAACAGCTGATTATAGTCGCATGTGGTTGATGACTGCACCATCCCACATCAGAAATTGATGCGAACATACGGGGTCAGGTCGCACATGACCTCTGGGCATTCCTCCCTGCTGTTCATTGTAGGGTTTTTCGCATTTATTCAGAAAGCGTCAAGAAGTTTTCACGCTGGTGTTTTAGTCTCCTGTGCAAGAATATTGACTTTAACTTCGAAATCGTCTCCGCTATGCTTTTGTATCCTATGAGTGCCTAGTGGGTACTTTGTCTTCGTTATCGTTTGCCATCTAGGTGTTCTTTTATACGGATACACAAAGGTCTGCCCGTTTTGCCAATATATTCATCACTGCAACCATTACAAGAGATCAGGTATATCGTACCTGAACTCATGCAATCACCGTCCCTGCCTTAAGGGAAGATTACGCAATTTGTTGTTTCACATAAACGGTCATGTAGGCGGTTGTGAACTAACTGACGACGTAGAGTAGCCGGTGGCATTTCAACTATCGCTACCGATTCCTCTAGACCTTTATTTACAGAGATGAATATATTGGTGAAACGGGCAGACCCTTGTGTATCTGTATAAAAGAACACCTAGATGGCAAATGAAAACTAAGACGAAGCACTCCACTAGGCACGCATGGGATACAAAAGCATAGCGGAGACGGTTTTGAAGTAAAAGTCAATATCTTTGCACAGAGGACTAAAACACCAGCGCGAAAACTTCTTGAGGCTTTTTGGATAAATGCCAAAAACCCTATAATGAATAGCAGGGAGGAATGCCCAGAGGTCATGTGCGACCTGACCCCGTATGTTCGCATCGATTTTTGATGTGGTATGGTGCAGTCGTCAACCACATTCGACTATAATCAGCTGTTCTAAACTTCCTCATTAGAAGTCACAAAAAAGCGGTGGGTTTTTTCGAGAAGTTGTTGATCATGTAATTGACATAGAGTTTTTCGTCTTTTTGTAAGTGTTATTGAAGCGTTTGGCCTAGTAGATTGTATATCAGTATACCCTTTCAGGCTCTGAAGAAGGCGATACTGCCGAAACGTCAGCTACTGTTGTATTGTATTGTTTCCCTATGGAAGTAAATGTATGCTGTTTAACAACCTCGCGATTGCTGAACAGGAAAACGACGCATTCATATTCCAATGCCGAGGTTAATAGAAAGTCGATCCTGGGAACCATTTTAGGTATTATTGAAGGCGTGTTTGGCTCACACGATAACATGCTATGCGCTACCGATGTATCCATTCAGTGTTTTCATCCTTGCAAACTAAGACTGTTTCTACTTCTCAGTCCGTAAGGATGGAAGGCTTAGTTAACCCGTGGCATCGGGGTGAACCAACGGCCGTCTGTATTGTAGAGCTCTTCTAACCATTGTGCTACACTTGCCCTGTTATGATCACAGTTCGGTAGAAGTGCGTATCTTTTTTGTGCGGAGGCAATATTTTTTCCAACGGTTATGTGTCGAACGATTAGTATTCTATCTTTTTCTCTAGTTAATGTTTCGCATTGTTTCGCATAATACTTTGTTAATTTCGCTACCGATATTAACCGGATTTTTCACTCGTATGAAATCGACATCTCTGGTCCTCGAAAATTTCTAACAAGCTCACCGCATCGTTCATGGCGCTCCTCCAATCATGACCATGAAATGGACTGTTCACTTGCCTCTTTAACTCCCTTAGCCAACCCTCTCCTCATTTTTGAAAATTTCTCACTAAAGGTATAACTACAGCAGCAACAACATTAATTTCTTTCAAGCAAGAGTACATGGCTTTGTGTTTACTGCATAGCCTCTGTTTGTCCATAAAATACTCATTTGGTGTCTCACTTCGCTGAACTCGTCTGGATTCGGTTGTGAAGATCCACATCTCAAGAACAACTGCTGTGGACATCCGAATCGCATAATTGCCCCAATGAAGAAGCCGTTGAGGCCGAAACGTTAGGCACAATAAAAACCTTTGTTAACAACCTCCTGTAAACTCTTGAGTGCAACAAAGTGTCAAACCTTAGTAAATGTCTCGGGAAACCAATCAAGTTTAACCTGTCGGGCCATGTCACCTGACACAAGATGAGGACCCACATCCAACCCTTCGTCGCATTTGTTTCACTCTTCAAACAACTTTCTTATTTTTTGTCCATTGAAAACCACACATTCAGTCTACCAGCAATAAGGTCTACCTACACCTGCGATCTAGTCTCGCTTCTGCGTTTATACATACATTCGCACTAGTTTTTCATTCACTCAGTCGTCGAAGAGTGTGCTCCGGCACAGGCAAACGAGAGACTTTCGAGTCGGACGGAGTTTTTCGCAGAAAAGTCCGTTATTAATATACTGACTGCTGAGGGATGGCTTGCTAAGTGAGGTCGAACCAGTGACCGTGAGCGTATTGTTGAGCGGCACTCTTATTCAAGTTATTCGCACCCTCAGATAGCAATATAACACGAATAATTAATTTATCTTTTCAGAAGATGCAGTCGTTCTTAAAATGATTATCGAAGTTTCCAATAATGTAGATTTAAATCATTAGTGATCTTCTTCGTCATTAGTGATGAAAGTATGTTCGTTCAGGTGGGTTGCACTGGCTGTTCCCCAAGCTGTCCTCAAGGTGTCCGATGTCGTCCCACGGATCCCAGGCAGCTCACATTCCAGTGCGATTGTTCTGACATCGAGGAATTCACTCTCGGTAGTTGTCGTTCCACTGAAAGTCGGTTTCAGATTCTTTACAATCTTTTCATTTTTTCAGATTTCACTGGTGCGTGATGAATTTCTTTTTACGAACAAGATTTTTCTATTAAATAATATTACGTGAACTATCATGCACATATTGTCAAGAGAGAGAACAAGTGTTATAGATAATCATGTCCATAGTTATTGAATTTGATGGCTAAAATTGGACTCTGTACGTTTCCTCGATTCAGGATTGCAACCGAATCCACTCGTGCCGCTTTCCACAGCATATCTTGATTCATCCGCTCCAGTGCTTCGCCTCTTACCCACAAAAGCAGCCACAAGCAAGGTATATTTCCATATGGATGGAAGAGCTTAGGCGAAACTGTTATCTTGTTTTATTTCAACTTTTTAACGGAACTGGCAAAGAATACTAATTGTTTTTCTTCTACGGTAGTTTTGAAATCGGACCGTTTCAGGTGTGGATGAAGCTGTCTTTTCCAAGAAAAATTGAACATAGAACGACTGTTGCACAGTTCAACTCTCATCGCGAAATGCTGTACGTTTCCATTTAAGAAAAGTCCTGCCCTAGTTGGCTTGTATTACTCTTTCCAGTTTCTACATATTCGTTGATCCTGAAGGCGTCGGCATCCACGTTCATCCCAATACCTTCGACCAATTCGAAACCATCATCAAAGGTGAGCAGTAGAAGCAATCATTCACAGTTGCTTGTTTGAAAGCAGGAATTTTAAGACTTTTATAAAACGTCGTTGAAATAATACCTTCTGCCGATGCTAGTAAGAAGAAGTTCCTTTTTTTTTGAGATGCAGATTTCGTAATCGTTTAGAGCCGATCTCATTCTCCGACGAGCGTGTGCATTTGATCACCCTGGAACGAAAAACTCCGCTCGGAACTCGTTACATTTCGAAGAAATTCGATCTTTCCGTAAGTTTTGCAGCCAGTTTATCAGTTGTTTTTTAGAATACGACATGTTTGTATTAAGAAAGATTGTAGTTGTATGCTGACATACAACAATGCTGGAATAGTTGTAGACTGCGAAATTCAATGAAGATATAAGTAAATTGAGCCTCGTTAATCAAATTTTCTTGTTAGAATGCGGCATACGTTCTTTATTAGACGTGTGGCTCAGTGGTAGGAAGCGCCCTGTAACACACACATGGAATCGCTTCCCTCGTCCATAGCCCACCAAGTCTTCCATTTCTCCGGGGTCGGAAAATTGGTACCAGACCTGTCTGAGAGGATAGCGGCACCGGCTCGATAGGTGCCTCGGTAGGCCACTGCAGGCCATTTGAAAATCCAAATATGCATTCAGTCATCTCCAACGATACTCAATGAAGCCGAATGCATAGCTCATCTCTCAGGGATTGATCAACGTTGAGAGCTTCATCCTTTATCCTTTATACGTTCTTTATTGCTTTGCACTTAAAGCAATTTTTTCATGATTCACCGAAATTCCACGCGACTTTACTAACCTCGCCGCGACTTCGTTGTACACAATCGGCCCCATCTCGCTATTTTGCCTAATCTCAGTTTGCAATGCAAAAATCTCCCGATACAATGAACGGTTTTTGAGCTGGTCTTTGTTCTGAATAAGTGCAGTTCTTTACACCGAACGTTCTTTTTGAAGCTGACTGTTAAACTGAGCGGTTTAGTATTACTACATATTAGTATCAGAGGCGGCTAGCATAGTAGTAGTGATGCTGTCCATCACGAGCACGGTGCTGGTTCGATCGCGCCACAGGCTAACCAAGCCTCTCATCCTTCCGGCGTCGGAAAATCTCTGCCAGACTTGTATGGGAACACTTCACTATCTATAAGCGAAGTGGTAACACTTTAACACGATTTTACCAGGACTCCATGGAGAATCAACTCGACCTGCATTCAACAACATTCGTGAAGACGACGAGAATCCTCAGGCAGCAGTGAAACCCACACGCGAAAATTTCAAAGTCTTTCGCATTGATGTATGCGAGGGAATGAATTGAATGCAAGAAGTGCTGGGGTCCGCGCAGTAGATGCAAATAGGGTTGTATAAAATAAAATAAAAATAGAAAACATCAGTATTCAGAGGTACTAATATTGGTGTAATCCCAGAAACAATCAAGGCAGTAAGACGTGGTTTTTCGTTGCAAGTAAAACGTTTATTTTATCATCTATTCGTAAGAGGGAATTGAAGTGTTTTAGAACGTTAAGATCAGGTTCCTATCTGATAGCAGTTGATATATCCGACGGCTGCTTATTCGTAGTCACGGAAAATAGTCGCTTTCTCAATACTCTTGTCTAACACGTCTTTGAAGGCATCTCCTGTTTCAGATCGATGGAGTGCACTGCGAAATTCCCGACGTCGCCAAGTACATGTTGAATAATGTTACCATCTTGGCAGCAGAAGACGGTAGTAACGGCTCAGTCATCATTCACGGTAGTAGACGGCTCTGTTTATTCATCTGCCCAACGACACAATTTAAATGAAGAATCGTGTTCACATAAAGCTTATCTCTATAGAATTAATGTTAGAATCTTAGCTATTAGAATCTTCTTGTGAATCGAAATTCTGCGATCTTTTGACGTGGGAGTTATTTTTAGCCCTCATTGTCGTTCAAGACTATGAGACTCGAATACTTCGATCAGATTCTAACATTCTAATATTGTCATTGCACATTCTAATTAAAAGTATTTGATTGATACTCGCAAGGCGAGCTTTCGTTTGGCATCTGAGAAGTTACTTGAGAGTTACAGATGAGGTTGCAGTTGAAACTATCAGTCAGTTGAGAGAAAGAGAAAGAAAGAAAGAGAATAGAAAAGCGAAACTAAGGACACGCATGCTGTGGTGGTGAACGCGTTAACCCCCGGAAACGGTAATAGCGTGCTCGTTCCCTACCGCGCATACCTGCAGTCCGGAGTTTTGCAAACATCTCAGCACCATTGAGGTTATCAATCAGTTAATTGCTTACTTTAAATTGAAATCGTTTGCTTAGATATGGGCATAGCGTACGAATACAACGAGCATCAACCGTTCTTGCATCATTCAACCAACAGGCTACATCAGGTGAGTGCTTCAGACGAACCTCAAGATTACGTAAAAGTTTTTGTTGAGTTCATTTTTTGTTTTCCTACACTAAAATTAGCCACAGTCTAGATTCCTCTACTGAACATTTACTGAAGATCATTTTCTTGTACTTGGAAGTAAACTAACACATGTTGTTGCGCTCTCTTATTTAACCTTTTTTATTGCAAAGCTCTTAAATTCCTTCGTGGACAAGCGTAATAACTTGTTTACTTCACTGCTAGCCTCTGCTCCGCTGCTGCTTTTCATTTTTCTTCTCCTTCTGGCCTGTCCGCTTTCTCACTAAATTTATGTCAGAAGAATTTAAGAATCGTGCAGATAATTAATAGTAAGTTGAAGCCTATTTCTAGACCCCATGTTTGAATCGGAGTTTCTCTTCCATTTGCATTTACTTCTTATGAAATTTTCTTTTTTGTTGTCTATTTAGTTCATCTTTGTTTTCCGATTTCCCGTATGATAGTAAACAAAAGGAATTTTTCTCACATTCCATAATTACGCTCATTTTTCCAGCTTTGTGAATAGAGAACGGGTAAACTCCTATTTATTAGGTTGATTTGCAATCGATGTTGCTCGACCACCGCCTTCGCGTTCCAATGGAGTCGGCGGCGACGACGGATCGCTTTTTTTGGAGAAAAGTAACTTCACCATCGGAGAGGTCGTCACCATTTGGCGAGATCTTGTCCTACACTCCTGACATGTTCGAACCTCAGCAACTATGTAAGCAGCTTTACACTATTTTGTGCAGTTTTAACGTGAAGTTGTATATGCTCTGGTTCAGCCAAGCCTCGAGTTCAGCAAGCCTCCCATCCTTATGAAGGTAGGGAATTAATACCTGACTCATGTTGCGAACTAACTGGGTTCCTGCGCTCTGGCAAAATAGCGTGTAACTGTGATACAAATTTGAAAATGCCCTTGCATGGCTATACCCGATCCAGGGAGGAATCGACTCGACCAACCTTCCGTGACATTCATTAAAAGGACCAAAAATCACAAGTCAGCGGCCAGACGCACAAATACGACTGTTTTCGTGGATGACGAACATGATGAAACGAATCGAATGTTCAACATACTGGCGTCCGTATAATACCCTATTACCTAAGTTCTATGGGAAATCGCGTCTAGTCCAGGTTCTACCTCATTTCTCATTCCATATAAGCCTGCGACTTACCAATTTGAGGTCATTACCATGAAAGGTAAGTAAATATAGAAGCTACTAAGGACAAATACGTCATTCTAAACAAAAGAACATCATTAAGATCACCACTATCACAGCATTTTCACTCTACGTCTTCAGAATTCCATTGTGGTACGGCGTGTTCACGGTAATATCGAAGAGAACATGAAAAGCCTTAGCCTAAAATTGCCCAGGGGGGCTTGCGAAATTCCAAACCGCTTTCAAATAGCGGAACGCTGAGAAGCTAAGGGCTCTTGAATTTACCCATGCCTCTTCTTCGCTACTACTCTTCTATCACTATTTCTACAACATTGGCGATGATTCATTCCTTGACATCAACACCACGGGTTAGATCACCATAAAAAAATATGTTTTAAGTTTTAACGGAGATTCGAAATGGTTGAACAAATGAGACTGATCCCTAAAAAGAGGCTTTCGATACGGTGAACGCACAAAGTTTATTTGACGAACTCATTTGAAAGATGTTTTTCTTCAATAGGCAGACACGAGGTTGTTATTATAGAATTTATTAGGATACAATAGATGACGTTTCGGCGGTTTCGCCTTCTTCAGAGCCTGGAAAGGTCAAATTGAGATGGGATCCACTCAACCAAACACTTTTATGACCCCAGCACATAAAACTTAACAAATAAATTTGTATTCTCATAAGAAACAGCTTCATTTAAATACCTACCGTTTATGTAAGTATTTAAGTTAGTTGATGGATAGCCGCCGCACAGAGTAATACTGGGCGATAACTGTGTCTGTATCAGGTCACTGGATCAGCCTGAGGTATGGCGTCAGCTCATGCATGATGACAAAACACTCCTCCTTGCGGTTCATTTTCGAATTTTTGGAATTGATCCAAAACGCTTCAAGGGTTTTATGCGCTGACATTTTTGATTCGTGCGTGAGGATAGCGACTCCTGCTTCGAAATCTTCTCCGTTGTGCTCCTGTATCCTATGCGCGTCTAGTGGAGTGTTTGGTTTTATAACTACTATAATGCTGAGATATTTGCCTGGCAAAAGTTCGATAGAACTAGCTGAGAGACAGCCGAAACGAAGAACCCGCATGGTTTGGTGGTGAACTCGTAACTCACCGGAAAGGACAATAGCGCTTTCGTTCCCCACCGCAGACGCCTGCGGTCTGGAGTTTTGCAAATATCTCAGCATTATAGTAGTTATATTTCGCGACATATCCTGCCGTTAAAAAGAATAGGCAGTTAGTAAAAAGGTTAAGATTGTTTGGTTTTAATTTAGATTTACCGACTAGGTGTTCTTTTATGCAGACGCAGAGCGGTCTACCTATTTGGCCAACGTATTCGTACATAAATAGTTTAGGCATAATTTGCCCTAATGGTAGAGGCGGTGATTGCATGAGTTCGGATACAGTCTATCTGATCTCTTGTAAAGCGTGCTGAGACGAATACGTTGGCGAAACGGGTAGACCGCTCTGCGTCCGCGTAAAAGAACACCTAATCGGTAAATCTAAATTAAAACCAAACACTCCACTAGGCGCACGTAGGATGCAGGAACACAACGGAGAAGATTTCGAAGTAGGAGTCACTATCCTCACGCACGAATCAAAAATATCAGCGCGTAAAACCCTTGAAGCGTTTTGGATCAATTCCAAGAATTCAAAAATGAAACGCAAGGAAGAGTGTCTTGTCACCACGCATTACCTGGCGCCATACCTCAGGCTAATCCAGTGACCTAACGCACACACTGTTATCGCCCATGTATTACCCTGTGCGGCTGCTATCCGCCAACTAACATACTTACCACAAATAAACGGTAGGTGTTTAAATGAAGCTGTTTCTTATGAGAATACAAATTTATTTGTTAAGTTTTATGTGCTGGGGATATGGAAGTGTTTGGCTGATTAAATCGCATCTCAATTTGACCTTTCCAGGCTCTGAAGAAGGCGAAACCGCCGAAACGTCATCTATTGTATCCTAATAAATTCTATAATAACAACCTCGTGTCTACTTATTGAAGAAAAATATCGGATTATCAATCAATACCGAGGTTAACAGAAAGCCGGTCTTGGGAATTGCTACGTGAAGTGTCATCTGGAAAATTCAGCAGAACGTGGCAGCGTCATGAAATTCGCAAACGAGACATGTGAACGCGTTCAGCGAACTCTTGCGCTCCAGAGTTGTTTCCAGAAGTGAATGTTTCATGTTTTGCGTTTTCAGTGGCAGCAAGTTGGCTCATGTACTCGTTGATGTTGACTACAATTTTGTGTGTGCTGCTCACCGTTTTTCTCATAGCGTACTGCTGTGTTCTGCACAGGCGACGGGGAAGATGCAGTAGCCATTGTATGTGTCTCGATACTTAGAATTATCACTACTGTCGTTGTTGATCTATGTTGCATTTCAGCTTCTGATCGTGATCGAATCCTCCGTGACAGTCCCGACTACTCCGTGAAAATGAGATTGAGCAAAACTGGTTAGTTTACTGATGTAGAGAGACTTTAGCGACTTTAATCTGACTATTTGCTATATAGTCCTTCAATTATAAATTTTAACTACAATACAAAATATTAAACTATTGAGAGTTGTTAACATAATGTAATCATAATGATATTGAGATTTTTGCGAAACACCGGACGGCTGGTGTCTGAGGTAGGGACCGAACACGCTGTCACCCTTTTCGGGGCCTAACACGTTTACCACCACACCATGTCAGTCCTTCGTTCCGCGTTTCTCTCAACTGCGTTATGGACCCGTAGTTGTTATCCACAATCACTCGTTAACGGTATCGTTCCGGGGAGCACAGATCGGCATTTGAACCCAGTTAAGCTGAAGCTGTGGTATAAATCACAATGTCTTCACTTTTTATTTAGTCTATTCCTCTTTCATCGCAGGGTACGCTGTGAAGTATAGCCACAATAATGCTGCGATATTTGCAAAGCTCCGGACCGCAGATGTCTGCTATGGAAATCGAATCCGCTATTATCCTTTCCGATGGCTGTGTTCACCACTACACCATGAGGGTCCTTATTGCGGTGCTCCAATAAAAAGTGACGACATTGTGATTTATACCACAGTTTCAGCTTAACTGGGTTCAATGCCGATTTGTCCTCCCTAGATCAATCCCATTGACGGGTGATTGCTGATAGCACCTATAGGTTAAGACACGGCTAACAGAAACGCGAAATAAAGGACCCGTATGGTGTGGGGTGAACACATCAGCCCTCGGAAAGGACAATAGCGAATTCGGTTCCCACCGCAAACAAATGCGGTCCAAGGCCTTGCCAATACCTCACCATCATTGTGGGTGTAAACACATTTCGTTGTTCTTAAAATAAGTGTAACTTTTAGAGTCTATCTCTACATATGACGGTGATGGCTCGATTGGGACGGAGGACACTGATCTCAACGCCTATCGTGACATTCCAAGCCATCGCGTGAAGATATACAGGGAATCGGTCTGTTTCACATTATCTTGGTTTACCTAGATGACCTACAGTACTCTTTAAATAGAACCATTTATGTCTTAATTGAAAGTAGTCGAACATTTTCTGAATTCAGTATGCAGTAGTATGAATACCGAGTAAGATTTCGAAAGGTGTCGCCTTACTAGAGAAACTTACGAAATTCTAAAACGTTGTTTTAAATTAGATCAGGAAGCATAACTTAATAGCTCCCTTGAAGCCCACAATACGGTCATTTTCTTCAGTCAGTACGGTCTACGAGGATAAGTAATTTGAGAGATATTGCTTCAGCAAGGTACTTGATACTCCTATAACCGATCCCACGTAGAGTTATGATAGTGCCATCGCAGTTGCCATTTGTTTGATAACTTGCTAGCTGTGCAACATTTGGTATCCCTGGATTCCCATGATAACCATGGTATGGTAACCACGTCGAGCACGTTTACCACAGACATTCATTTTCCTTATGGATTGAAACCACTTTGCAATGTTATTAGCAGGATGGGATTGATCCTTGGCAATGATTACCTCCTAATAGGGCTTTAGTATATAAATTTCGAACTCGTTCTCAAAATGTGAGATCCTGCTATGGTTAACCCTTAATTGGACTATACATCGCAGATGAAATCCAGTGCCTTCCGACGATGTACACCATTGGTAGGGTACTAAAGTACACTTATTAGGAACTATTCCAAGAAGGTAGTGATGAAGCTGATGTTTCAATGAGAGGTTTAGCCATGTGCGAGCGATGCTATTTATTGGCTTGTTAGCACTCTTTCGAAACATACTTGTAATTATGTGCCTACTTTTCTTCTGTGAACTGAAAACATAACTCTGACATCTGGGTTGATAGAGACCTCTTTTTAAAGAAGTGATATAAAATAAACTGTTTTGTTGGTAAATACGCATAACATTAGGTATTGACAGTTAATAACGATTGCATTCAAACTGAACGTATTAATTATTCGTTCCAGATGGTTTCAATACTGGTGCCTGGAGTGGATCAGCCTAATAATGCGATAGTGAAGAGAGTTCCGAGCACGGGGAGCGATTTAAGCGCGCCACTGTTGTCATCCAGTCCTGCTCCGCTGGTCAATGTGGACGACCAGTGACTAGCACTAGTTCAGGACAGTTATACAGAATTCACGGCCAGATTTCGTGATCCAGTTTTCCTCAACTCTTAGTTATTTTTGTCCGGTGTGGGATTTGCATGTTTTCCCCTTCTTCCGCACAGTTCCGCCTTTGAGGATAGCTTCTGTGTCACCTTGCTGAGTGCTGCTGCAGCCACCTCCATATTGTTTTACTGACGGCTTTATTTTCGCGTTTGCTTTCAGAGAAGCCAATCTGTTTTTTGCAATATATAAGATTGATCAGGAGAAGCATTGTTCCCGTTTAACCTCATCCCCGTTGCACTTGATCTCACGGGTTTTTAAATTGCTCTTAAATGTAATAAACGCTTTCATTTCAAATATGAAAATACATGAGTTAATATAAAATAATACATGAGTTCTACAGCCTAGTCGCATGTACCGTACAAATACTTTTCAACCTCAAACAAGACCTTACATTATCAGAAAATATTTTGTTGGATATCTCAAGTAAATATGCCACATATTCAATGTAGTAAACGTTTAAGCCGAGATTACTATCATCAATATTTCCGTTTGCTTCGTAAGCTATCATCCTAAAGGATTTCAGTGCTACAGTACTCCAGTGCATGAGTTTTACACTATAATTAGCCTACAAAAGTTCACTTTTACATGGTCATAGTGAATTTTCGAAACTCTAATAATGTCAACACAATTCCTTATTTTGTCTCCGATTTCCGCGTTTGATTCACGAAAGGAATCCTGGAATTAGCAAACCTATATAATCTCGGAAGATGGATGGAGAATCTTTAGTCACATACATATTTTACGCTGATCGACCTCCGCTTGTCATTTTGCTCTCAAAATCGCAATGATATTGAAAACACTTGAGGGGAATCGTTGTCAAAGGAGGTAGGAAAGTGCCTGACAAGCAAGGGAGCTTGTCTAAAAATCTGAAGGGTACAGATGTAGTGCTGTGAATGCTGATTCTCTATTATGCTCTGTCACGCAAGGACGTGGTTGTTTGTCCATTACCTAAACAAGAAATAGGGAACTTAGGTGGCAATTAAGGGTGGAGGTCAAACTCAAGGTCAAGCTATTTCACAATAAATGAGGCGATTGCAGTAAATACTAACAACATGGCCAAGCAGAACCACATAGCACCCTGCTGTGGCAAATTGTATTTTGATATCAAGTCACAACGAGGAGGAAAGGACATTGTGAACACCGTGATCTGATGTAGGTCCACTTCCTCATTGGGTGTTTACTTTGGTATATAAAACCTTTTCGCCATATTTTTTGTAATAAATCGACAGCACGCCTAATGCAGATGTAATAACAGATATCAACGAAGAAAATCTTTGTTCTACACTTCACAGTTTACAGAGGAACTTTTCGTACAATTTTCGTCGGCTAGCGATCTTCGCTGTTGAGGAGGGCACACAATGTGGAGATGTTGCCGATTATTGAGACAACACAAGTATCCCTGGTGCACAGCAACACCAGTGCTATCACCTTGGAGTCATTTTTTTTTCGTTAAGATGGCAAACGACTGTAGAGACTTGTAGAGGTGTGGGTGTAAACATTGCGCTCAAATAATAGCCCGTTTTTCATCGCCCGAAAAGTTGTGCATTCTCCTAACTTTTCTTTCTCTTGATCTTATCTGCTGGTTTCGTTTAAAATCAAGTCCCACATGTACTTCATAAATAATTCATATGGTTTCGTGCATCCAGGTAGAAGATCTTGGTCCACTCTTGGTCCACTGCTATAGAAGACTAATTGGTCAGAAAGCACAACATTATTCGATCGCTCACCACTAACTTCGTCATTCTCACCTCTATACCCATGCTCCTGGCCCCAGTGTGTTCAGATTCATTCTCACTATCGTTAAAGAGTAAGCCGAAAACGAAGTTCAGTCCGTCATGGGCCAACATGATTCAGGAACATAAAGTTCAAACTGACTGTTCTTTTGTTTACTGTCATGGTTACACTATGAAATGCGAGTACAGAAAAATGTGCAAAAATACAGAATTGAACCCCGGAAATGTTGCGAAACTAACCACTGCAGACTAACGGCACCATGACATTGCACAAGTTTCTTTTACCTTTAAATGTTTTAAAACCATGGTACAGCACGTAGAACTTGCAGGAAACGTGGATATTGAATAATACAGAAATCACTGAAAAACAAACGGAAAAGCCGAATTAGTATTTCACAAGTAAAACGAAAGCGGCAGCGTGACGTCAACAACTAAGCGGATGCGATGCAAGCACTATGTCGTTGTTCTTCATTGACATCTATTTTATTTGCAACTGATCATCAATTTCAGATAAGGTGCTAAAGGCTTTCGATGAGACAGTGTTTCAAGGACGGATTCTTCTCTCTATCTCCTTTATGCCCGTAGATTTACAAGTGAGAGGTTACCAATGTGGAAATCTTGCACAGCTCTTGAATCGACTCGGATCATCGGCTGTGAGAAAGACGCGGACTTCGAGCCGTTAGCCCAACAAAGTCGTTTATCAATCTCGTGTTAGCTTATCGATGAAAGAACACATTTTGGCTAGTCATACCGAGGCTGGAGGAATGCCGGTTTTTGAAATTGTGCTCAGTGCTAATAATGAGAATAACAAAAATAAATAGCAATAACCATATCGACTTCTGCAGGATGAATTGTCCGAAAAAACCAAGTTATTACCACCGGGCAATCATAACGACAACAACCGCCTTTTATAAAAGGGCATCGCTGAGTGACGTTATCTCATTCAAGCGGTACTCTACCGAAAAAGATTCGACTCGATGCGACGACAAAGACACCACATCGAGAGTACCAAAAACTGCAGATATCGAGTCTGATCACCGGCCCTAGATAACACGAGGACAACGAAACATTAATTGAATAAAGTTGTTTATCGACCTCGTGTTAGGTTGTCAATGAAAGAGTGCTCAATGTTTTCAGTGGAGCAATAGTAGAGAATTATTTTTCAAGGTCGTAGCATATCTGTATGGGATACGCTGTGGATGGGATATGAGAGTGAAAATTTATGTATTGTGACTTTCAATTTCTATCCACTGCCTTCTTTTTTACCATGGCAGGTTATTATGTGAAATACAACCAAAGGGATGATGTGATACCAGTAAAACTCGGGACCTCAGTTGGGCTTCGAAGCCCCGATTAACACTGTCAGGGAGTCACGTGCTTATCCGCCACACCAACCGAGGGTGTTGCTTCGCCTTTCTCTCAGTCAGCTTTCTACTCTAACGGTGCTATGAAACACACGGCAGAAAGAAATGGCAGATTTACCGGCATCTGTTAGAGCGATTCGATGGTCAACGGGACGACAGGTGATACAGTTGGATTCCTGGCCATTTGTAAGACGAGGGAGGAATAAACATGTATGGGTTTTAGATCCAGAGGCTCTTCGTCCTTTTAAAGGATTGCTCTAAATTTAATGGTCCTGCAAGAATTTCGTGCAAATGAGAGGGTTGGCAACAGGACATGGGCTAGCATCAGCGTTGTCATTGCATTTAGGTCTAAAATGAAAAGTCCAGTAATTAGGATCTCCAGCCATTACTTTGCTGTAGCTATATAGATGATTGCTTTATCGTCTGCTCTACGCGAGACAAGATAGGCAAATGTTTTGAGACCCTGAATGAGCAGTCAGATCACAACAAGTTAATCCCAGAGAAATCGATAGAAAAACTGTCTTCATTTTTGAACTCTCAAATTAACCTATCTCTAGAAGCGCATACTTCACCAAATGCAAATGCTAGCAAAAACAGACTTATTTATTACCGCTCCTCTCACCCCTTAAGCACAGGAAGGGCGCTTGTAAAAAACATGGTTCGAACAGCAACGGATCTGTGCACAGCAGAACAGGAAAAAGAATCCCTGCAAATAACGCTACAAAACCCCATATTCAACGGCTACCAGTCTTTCATTTTCTACGAAATAAGCACGGCTATAAAAGGCTGCTCAAGAAGGGCCAATCCAAACAAATCGATGGCAGTGATTGAAATACCACCGGACACTCTTAAAAGCCAGCTAGTTCGTAACGGCCTATGTGAGCTTCGGTGTACAATGCAAAACTGCATAGTATGCCCTGACGGTAGACACGGTGATTGCATGAGTTCGGGTACGGTTTATCTGATCTCTCGTGAAACACGCGGATATGAATACATTGGCGAAGAGTGCAAAACACTATATGTTGAAAATGTAGTGGGCAACAAATAAAAAGTTAACGTTATGATTTTAACTACAGCTTCATCTTTGATGGCTTCAACGCCGATTTGTGCTCTCCAGATCAATCCCGTTTGAGTAATTGCCGATGGCACTGGTAGGTAGAAAACTAGCCGAGAGAAAAGCGAAAAGAAGGACCCGCAAGGTGTGCTAGCGAGGGCGTTAATTCCCCACCACAAGCAACTGCGGTCCGGAGTTTTGCAAACATCTCAGCATCATCATGGTTGTATTTTACATATTACCCGTCCGGTCGTGAAAAATCGCAATAGGCAGCAAATAAAAAGTTAACATTAAATACTTAACATGTAATCTCGAAACATTCTGGATAAATTCCAGATATCCAAAAATGAGCAGCGGGAGGATTGCCTCATTATCATATCAGATCTTACACGGTGTCTGAAACCAATCCTTTGAAGTTAGAGAGATGTCTTAGCCACCTATCTAAACTTTTACGATTAATCTCACTGTGGAATGCTCAATATCTCTACGAATCAACTAGTGGGAAGACTGAGCGAAGGATTCATCGCCGAAAACACACCTCCCTCAGGTCCACTGGTGAAGACCTGGATACGTCCTTGCAAGGTTACGTCAGGACTCCAGGGAGGACCAAGTTGCACGACCAGCAATAGGCCAACTCTAGTACCCCGCACACTGGGTGCTCCCGTCGATGACGTCAGGCGGTGAGACGACCAGTGAGAGGCCAGAAAATCTCGTGTTACGCAGGACGTCATTGGAACCGGATCTGAGGAACACAATCACGACACACCATGGAGATTGTTTCATACT